AATAAATTTTGAGAACCGGGAAGACAAGACCACAGCTTTTGAAATCCCTTTCACTTAAGAGATCACATTATGGGTGGCAAGGAGCTTTTTTAATCTCTTTGATCCGTGCCCAAGCTGACCTAAGGTGAAGGAACAGTGGAAAATGATGAGGAACTGTGGCTGCAGCCACTGCTGGTAAATATCCTCCAGGAATTCCCTGGTGCCAGCAGGAAGAGGTAAGTCTGTCTAGCACCGATGATCTGGAATGGAAATAAGTAGCCCAAATCCATGACCCCATCTCTTTCTCCTGATGCCACAGCTTTGGACTTGAGACATCAATCTTGTTATAAGAGGAATTTGCCTTTTAACAAACATGAAAATCCAACTAAAAGCACATAAAAGTCTTTCTGTGACCAGCATTTCCATGAGGATGTTGAGAGACAGTGCTGAAAGTCTTATTAGAGTCCTTTCTATCCTTCCTGGGGACAAATTCTTTAATAAACTGAAGGAAATGGTACCACCAAAGTTCTCTCCCAATGATCTTGTGGTCATCCAACCACTTATAAGAAATGAAGTCTAATTTCTCTGGTTGGAGTTCACCTGCCACATTCTGATTCTCTGATTTTGTGGTCTAATTAGCTCTTTTATGGATTCTGACTCTCAAATCCCAACTGCTCCTGCTGCTTTAACGTCTACGAGATTAATTCAAATTGCATTGTTAGTCACTGGGTCATGCAGTGAGTACTTGACTCACTTTGGGTATTGGAGATTTAGTTTAGAGACTGTGATTTTACTCTTCCCCAAAGGTTTAAGTCCTTTCCCTCCTGGATTGTCCTGTCCTGACATTAAATCACATTTTTTCCTGGTCTTGTCCTATCTTCTCCACCTCAAATTTTAATTCCTTTTCCTCCTCAATTTTACTCTCTTGCCAATAAATCTCCCTTTTTTCCTGGTCTTCTCCTTTTATCTCCACTTCTAATTTTCCTTCAAGTTGTCTTAAAGCCCAGGAAATTTGGGAATATAATTTCAGGAGCCTGAATATTAAACACAGACAAGGTGTAATCTGCAGTGCAGGTTTTGGGAAACCACACCCTTCACATTGAAAACAAGACAGTGGGGATTTAGGAAAACAGATTCCTTTCTAGACTCTTCCACAAGATATTGTAATGTAATAAAAGAACAGAATCACAGATGCTTTGGGGTGGAAAAGAGCTTAAAGCTCATCTCATCCCAATCATCCCATGCACATGGGCAATAATCCTTCACCAGCATTTTAAGGAGTTTTCCTGCTTGTAGAAACACAGGATGAGCTGCTTGTGAGAGATCTCCAGAGGTCATTTAGTCCAACACAACAAGCTTTACCCAACAGCCGTGAAATTTAAATCGGGCTTTAAATCCAGGGTTTATCACCTTATGAATTTATTAAATAAAAATAGGAGCCTGTAAGAATTCACTGATATCCACAGACAGAAAGCTCTGTTGGGAAATAATTACATTTCATCAGCATTCAGCAGGGTTAGTACAGTACAACCAAAAGAATTCCTCTGACCTTTCCCATCTTTTCCTGTAAGAAGAACAGGTCCATCCTAAAAAACAACTTTCTTAAAGCATTTATTTTGTAACTTAAAACCAAGCAGCTGACAGAGGTGTCACAAAGCCTGCAAACTGCTCTTATTACTGGAATTAATTCATCCTCTTTCAATTTTGGGGAAAATCCAAGGGCCAGTGATACGTGAGCACATAATTCTTCATCCCCATTTTCCACCTCATTTCCTTCCCTGTCACTACCTCTCCTTGATAGCAACATGTTCATGCTGGAGTTTTCAAACAGTGCTGATCAATGACACCAAAATACCCAACAATAAATGAATTATGGTTTTGGGTGAAAGAATCTGTATATAAATAAAACCCCACAAGAATAAAAACTTCAGTCAAGGGATGTCTTTCCTCTCCAGGGCACCATCAGCTCAACAGCTTCTTATTTAACCCCGGGCTGCCTTTTTTTAGAGTCTGCAACAAACTGCTATGGACTGTGTTCCCTCCCCAAGGGTGTGAACATGCCTGCAGATCAATATATTGGTGTGAGCCTGCAGATCAATGTATTAATTCCTTTCCCAAGTGTCATTCCACCTTTTTGACCTCCCATGCCCCTGAGATTGATTAAAGTGCAGTGTACAACTCAGGTCATCCTGATGCCCCATCTCCAGCTGGTTTAGACTGCAAGAAAGTGCCTGAATTTCACTGTAGAGTTTCCAGTTGGAGCTTTTGAGTTCCTGGGGGCCCTTTGTGGAGACTTCCACTCAGCAGCTGTGCTCCTGCCTTGCTGGGGAATCCCCAGAATCAGAGGGGAAGGAGCAGCAGGGAATCCAATCCACCTCTGACTGCCCCAATTTAGAGAACACAGTGTGAAATAAAAGGATTGGAAACACATCTTCTCCACTGGCAGCATTATCCTGTCTGATTTTTGTTCTTTTAATCTTCAGGAGGCTCCTGGAATGCCCACAGGCAGCACTCCCATGCCAGTGCCTCCAGCAGCTCCAGCTGGCAGCAGAGCTGCCAGAGTGGGAGAGCACTTCCAAGAGTGGATGTTGCCTGCCTGCATGGAATAAACGCCCCAAACCCTCCCTCTCCCACAGGAAACCTCTCATGGCCTTCCTGCTACATCTCCTTGGGAAAACACCCCCCAAATATTATCAAATTCTTTATGGAAAACCACTTGAAAGTCCAGCTTTCCCACTGAAAACAAAGCAGAGCATGGAAATCTCTTGTCTGTGGCAGGATTTATTGCTGGCAGTGTTCAGATTGATTTAAACCACAAATTGCTTACAATCCCCATCCCTGGAAGTGTCCAGGGCCAGCTTGGACAGGCCTCAGAGCAAGCTGGGATGGTGGAAGGTGTCCCTGCCCATGGCAGGGCTGGAATGGGATGAAATTTAAGATCCCTCCCAACCCAGACCACTCAGGAATTCTGACAATTAGATAGGGCACCCAATCCTGAGACCAAACCTCCTGAGTCAAAAATCCTGAAGGATCAAAGTGATTGTGCACCTTTTCCATGTCGTTCCTCACCACGTTCTTTGCTCCCATGAGCAGTAGGGTCAGATCTTGGGTTTTAAGGTAAAAATCTCTTGCTAATTTTTTTTTCCCCAGGTAAAATGGATAGGTGGCATTCAGAAGGGAAAGGGACACTACAAAATCTGCCCTTTCATTAAGAATACTCTGTATGACTGCTTGCTCTGGCAGATTTTAAGTTTCTGTTTGAAATGAGTAAAAAGTTTTCTGAAAAGCAGTTTTGTTAATCAGTGTGTTAATTCTTGGTAGGGAAAACACACAGCACCTATAAGGATTTTTTCTTTTACCAGGCTATTCCCACCTGAAAGAGCCCTTTATGTACATTTTATCTGCATTAAAGCTTCCATAGAAAATTTATTCCCATTAACACCTCTCCCACACCCTCTGTGGGTTTATCTACAGTGAAAAACAACACACCAAAAGCTATTTCAGTTTTTAAGGAATATCCTCAAACAACACAGTTACACCCAAACTCTCATCACCATTATTTCAATAACCTCACTGGAGTCGGAAAAAAACTCCAAATGCCCAAATTTCTCTTTTTTATACCACAGAATGGCATTTCCAATGGATATCCCTACATCAGTTTGCAGTTGTGAACATAAGACAGGAGAAATACACCCAGTATTTTGGCTATAAAGAAAAAGCTTTCTCTATCCAGGGATAAACAGGACAGGAAATGACAGAAGCCTTTTCTGTCACTCCAAGCAGGAATAAACTATCCCAAGGCTCCAATAAATATTTTCATTTCCACACAACTTAGAAATTGCACTAATTTAGAAGCCAGAGAGCTTTTTGTGGCAATAACTTCTTGTATTTTACAGTTCTGTCATAGCTAAAAATAGAAGCAAGCTTGTGTTTGAGATGATTGAGCCTTGAGGGCCCTCAGCAAAGCACAAAATGGATTTGAAGGATATTTGGGACTGATTGGAAATGTTCCACCTGTGCCTTTTAGGATGCAAAATGAAAAACAAGCACACAGGTAGGCAATGACAAAAAGCAGAGCAATAATTTATTGAATTATCAAAACTGACTTAATTGTACTGAGGGATCCTAACTTTGTCCAAGACCAGTTCTGATTTCTTATTAAATAATATAATGATGGGAAGGAACATGATTATTATGGGTATTTGGGTTCCCATGGTATCCAAAATGTCCTGTTTTTCTAAAGCTTCTACTTAAGGAGCTCCCCTTTTCTCTTGATATGGTTGCTGCTGGAAGAAAAAAAAAAAAAAAAAAAACTGGCATATTTTCCACCTAAATTCCTGAAAAATTCTTCCCAGTTCTTCTTTTACCTACAGCTCCTGATGTATGCAACCTTAGTGCAGCAGATATGAGACATATTCAACTTCTGGATTGAAAAACCCTCAAATTAGTATTTTCTTCTTTCCCTTGAGTCAGGAAAAATAAATATTATCAAAAAAAAAAGGTTTCTTCAAGAGTCTGAATCCTCATCCAGAAGACCCCCATGTGTTATAAAATTTACAGCTTCAAACCCTCAAATAAACACTATCCCCTATTTTTATGCCAGGTCAGTAATTATTTCACTCACGGGTTAAACTGATTTTCCCTTTAATGGCCTTAAAACTTCCTCTAGGTGTGACAATTTCCTACCCTGGGTGTCACTTGCTCAGCATATTTGAATTCTATCTCAAAACAAATAATTTTAAAATGTGGCAACACTGTTTTAACCCTGTAAATCTGTTATCAGCAAGTTTTTTATGGTGGAATTTCTTAAAACAAGCTTTTTGATGTGCAATTTTTAAGTGACAAAATGTTTCTGGTATTTAGCACAGAGAAGAAAACAATTCCAATATTTTAAAGCCCCAAAACATGCCACTGTCGCCACAAATGGAGAAGTTATTTTGATGGGCATTTCTGTAATTTTGTGCTCTTTCCTCACTGTCTGCATAGCTTGGGTAATAAAATAAACAATTTTAATGACTTACCCTTACTTGACCAACAAAAGCATTGGCTTCCTCTTCCTGCACAGAGAGGTTTTTGGGAAGAAACATGTCAAAAACTGGTCCGTTGTCATTGACATCTGTCACCACTATATTGACAGTAGCAGTTGATGTCTAGGCAGAAAAAAGAACATTTTAAAGAAATTCTCTTTATTTTACAGCTTCCCAGGTGACAACCCTCCTGTAAATTATTAGACAGAATCACAGGTAAGCAGATCATCAATTTTTTAAACATGTTTTTGTGAAAAGGGAAGCATTTCAAGAATTTCTTTTGAATTTTTAGAAGACAAAACAAGCTCAAGACTGACTCATATATTAGAGATTCATGATAAGTATCTGATATAATTTCTTTTCATACAGTATTTTAAGGATTTAAGGAGTTGCTCTGAGTGGAGGGAAAAATCTGGAAATATCAAAATTTGCCAGAATGGGAAAAGGAAATTAGTGATTTATCAATCAAAATATGCCACAGTGATGATTAACTAAGCTGATGAAATGGCAGAATCATCCTGTATCATGCTCCTGTGTCATCCTTCCCCCACCCCACGCTGATGTTCTACTTTGCAACCCGATTTTAATATCCCAGGAGGTGGGAACAGCAGAATTAACTGTATTTAATATAAAATGTCAACAAAATACAACTCTACTACCTATGGAAATTTTCTCTCCCAATGAAAAACATGGAGAGGTGTTGGCTTGAGTCACATCCCTTCTCTCTGCTCCCACAGACTGAGAGCTCCAGACCAAAACCCCACATTGTTGTATTTATAAGAATTATTCTGCTCAATATATCGAATTTTAAATCAATTCATCTAACTCAGTGTCTTAAATCTTTCTTGTGCCTTCTGATACTTTGCATGAAACTTCTCTGAGGGAAACTTGGGCCCTGAGAGCCCAGAGAGCCCTGGAGGGGCTGGAGCGTGGCCAGGGCAGGGAACGGAGCTGGGGAAGGGGCTGGAGCCCCAGGAGCAGCTGAGGGAGCTGGGAAAGGGGCTCAGCCTGGAGCAAAGGAGGCTCAGGGGAACCTTCTGGCTCTGCACAACTCCCTGACAGGAGGGGACAGCCAGGGCGGGTCGGGCTCTGCTGCCAGGGAACAGGGACAGGACAAGGGGAAACGGCCTCAAGCTGTGCCAGGGGAGGCTCAGGTTGGACAGCAGGAGGAATTTCTCCATGGCAAGGGAGCTCAGGCCTTGGGATAGGCTTAAAAGGGGAGTGGTGGAGTCCTCATGCCTGGAAGTGTTTAAAAAGTGAGAGGATGTGGCACTCTGCAGTTGTGGTTTAGTTGAAAGGTGGTGCCTGGTCACAGGTTGGACTTGGTGACCTTGGAGGTCATTTCCAACCATAAAAATTCCATGATTCCATGAAATGCTTAGGACAGGTCAGTCACAGCAATTACACCGTGGAGATGTGACCCCAGAAGAAATCCCTTGCTTTAAGAAGAACAAACCTGTTTGAAAGTGCCACCTCACAGGCTTCATAGAGAAACCTGCACCCATCTTCCCTTAATAAGAACCCCAAAACAGAGAAACAAAATAAAGAAACAAAGAAAAAACCAAACCAAACAAAACCTCAACCAAAAAGTCTGAATGGAGACCTGTACTTCTGGTGCACTACTGGTGTCAGAATCAGGCTCTTCCCAGCTCCAGATCCAGCTGGTATGATTTCAGTGTCCCAAGAGTTCCCAACATCTGCATAAAATAACTCCTTACTACTTAAAAAAAATCAAAAATCCAGAGGATTTTGGAACAAGGTAGCACAAGGGTCTCCCAGGCTGGCAGCTTCTGTTTACTGAGCCCCAGTTATTTGGTAATTGTTCCTGAAACAGCCTCCCACACTCCATTTCTAAAAGGCGCATTTGCACTTTCTGCCTTCTTGTCCATGCAATAGCCACTCCAGAACGTTTGCTCTGCTGTGATGCACACTGAATGTAAATTAGCTTTTCCAAAGGTAACTCAACTCCATGAAATTCATAGAAATAAACACCCTCACATTTCATAAACTGAGGCAACATGGTGTTAAATAACAATGGCTTAAGGCAGGAATTCCCATTTAGAAAAGATTTCTTTTCATTCCAGATAATTTTAATGCACTGATAATCTGCAGCATTTCTTCTCTTTTGAGAGGATTTTATAAGGAGAAAGACAGGAAGGAAGGAAAAGAAACATTTGAGATTTTTTCCCAACTCTTGCCTAAGGATTTTCAGTATTTTTCACATTCCTGGCCATTTATTCATCTTAAGCACCCTCCACGTCAGTCAAAACACCCAGGCCAGTGCTCCACTTGTCATGTTTAAATTTTCACTTCTGAATTTAAAAGGCAAGATTTTTGCAAAGAAATAATATTTTTCTAGGGAAATAAACATCTTATTGAGATGCCAAATAGTAGAATTAGTTTGGAAAATTTTATCAAATGCTCCTCTCCTTAAACTTGCAAATGTGTTAAAATAAGACCCTGTAAGAAGACCAACATTTCAAGTAATCCTTGTTTTCATATGTCACACTTTAGAAAATTATCAGATGTGAATTAATTCAGAATTCACTATAACTAGACCGATATTTCAAATAATCTTCCTTTTTTATTAATCATAATTTAGCAAATGACCAGAAGTGGGTGAAATCAGAAGGAGCATTCAAAGCAGACTCTGGCTTAGCAGCGAACCCCTAGGTTCTGCTCCTTAAAATCAGTAACAGACTGAAACTGAGAAAAGAAATGGGAATACTTAAAAATCTCTCTATTTCACCTGAATACAGGAAACATTTATTATCTCACTGTTATCTCAGCAATGCCCACCTTTACCACGAAGTGGGACTCACCCATGTGTCTTTGAGAGAAGCACTTCTCTCAAACATTAGAGTCCTGTGATCAAAGATTATTAACCAAAACCAATGTTTTTAGATCCCCATTAGATGGCTCCAAAGATTTGTTGAAGCTCCCAGCCTCAGATTGATGTGCTGTTCTGAAAAAGCCTATGGAATCACAGTTTGTGTGGGAAAGGACCTTAAAGCCCATCCAGTGCCACCCCTGCCGTGGGCAGTGACACTCCCACTATCCCAGGCTGCTCCAAGCCCTGTCCAACCCAGCCTTGGACACTTCCAGGGATCCAGGGGCAGCCACAGCTGCTCTGGGCACCCTGTGCCAGGGCCTGCCCACCCTCCCAGGGAACAATTCCTTCCCAATATCCCATCCATCCCTGCCCTCTGACATTAGGAAGCCATTCCCTGTGTCCTGGCCCTATGTCTCTCTCCATCTTTCCTAGAAAGTGAATTCACTAAATGTCTTAAAGAATTATGAAAAGTTGACAAGGCTTCTAGAGGATGCTAAAAGAGGCATAGAAACAACAAAGAAAGGTCTTCACAAATATATAAAAACCACTAAAATTCTTTAAAGAAGTGATTCCCTAAAATAAGGAGAGACACCTATTTCACTATCAATTTTCCAGGGATATTCCTCATGCAAATCCAACACAGGAAGGTTTGAAAATTGCTTTGGCTGGTTAAAAATGAGGCTTTTCTACCACAGAATCATCAAGCAGGGTTTGGGAAGGAATCCTAAAACTATTCCTTGAAATTCAACCAGGGAACAAAACATCTCAGACTCATATCAGGCATTTCCTATTCATTACTGGAGAAACCCTGCTTACTTCCCTTTTATAATGAACATAAATAAAAGATCCACAGCAGCAAAGCAATTTATATCTTTCTTAGGGACCCTCAAATAGTTCTTATATAGATAACTCTTCCTTAAGCAATATTCATAAAATTTACATTGCCTGCACAAATCTTAAGGATGCCAGGCCCTGAAAAATGTTATGGATGATAAATCTGAAGGAAATTCCATTTTATTCTTATTTTATTTGTATCCTGTCATTTAAATTGAAGTTGGGAATTGATGAAAGCATTCTATGCCTTGGAGAGGAAACGTTCTTGGCTCTGATGTCGAGCAAGTTTATCAATTTGGACAAACTCTTAGACAAACCTGTCATGTTGAGAGATAATTAGTTTCCAAATAATACAACTGGAGGCAAAACCTTAATTTGATCAAAAAAGAAATGGTAAATAATGCTGCTGATCTCTATATCAGGATTTATTGATATTTATCTCAAGAAAACTGTATTTGAGTGGTGATAGACTTAACAATTCTATGATTCTATTTTCAGACCTTCTTTCCTTCCATGAGAAGTTTAAAAGTATCTCCCAACCCTCTCCACCTCCCCAAGCTATAAAGACAAAATAGGCAGCTGGACTGCAAAGAAATTTTGGAGAGAAGACCCTGTGGTGAAGGGAAGGGTAGGTCTTGCCAATAATTACACTAATGAGAAAAAAATCCCAATAAGCCTGGAGACAAGACAAAGAGAAAAACTGTCAAAACACCAAAATAAAGCCCAAAGGGAAAGCTCCCAAAATGAAAACCTCACACATGGCAAAAGATAACAGAATGTATCAGAACAGATGAGTATTTCACATGGAAAGGAAGAGAAAATAATGGACATTTAAGGAAAATTCTTGACAAACAGACAAAATTATTTAGGTTGGAAAAGCCCTCTAAGACCAGCAAATCCGACCCTTCCCCAGCACTGCCAAGGCCAGCCTGACCAGTGTCCCCAAGTGCCACAATCATATGGCTTTGAACACCTCCAGGCATGGGAACTCTACCACTGCCATGAGAGCCTGTTCCAAGGCCTGAGCTCCCTTGCCATGGAGAAATTCCTCCTGGTGTCCAACCTGAGCCTCCCCTGGCAAAGCTTGAGGCCGTTTCCCCTTGTCCTGTCCCTGTTCCCTGGCAGCAGAGCCCGACCCCCCCTGGCTGTCCCCTCCTGTCAGGGAGTTGTGCAGAGCCAGAAGTTCTTCCCTCAACTTCCTCCTAATGGGAACTTACTTATCTATATCCCTTATTTTATCCAAATTTTGAACTGAAAATTAGGATCAATCTATTGCTTTATGAAAACTCTTTAATTCACCCTTTCCCTTTTAGCACATGAAATCAAAGCCTTTATAGGGAATATCCATGCTAAGCCGCACAAGCATGGAAAGTTTGGGAAGCTACTAAAGCTTGCTGTAATAAATGAGCTGCTGTGGGAACAAAAGCCTGCTCTCCAAGAGGAGGAAATCTGTCTG